TGCAGACAAAGAAGTAAATGCACAAAGAAGAAAGTAAAATTCACTTCAAGTTCTCTCTTTCAGAGAGAACCGTGGGTACTATTTTGATTAAAATTTTTCTAATAATACTTTCAAAAATAGACATATTTCCTAAAGAAGATTTTCAAGAAAAATAATTTTAGTTTTTATTATTTTAACATTTTGGGGGGGTGAACATTTAATAAAAACTGCTAGTTTTTGTCTTTTTTTCATTTCATCATTTTGTAGTTTTAAAAATTTTCACACAGAGGAGGGAAATAATTTACAAGTTATGATAAGGACAAAAATGAGTTTTTCATTTTATTTTTAAGGGAAATATAAACAGTGGTAACATAGTGAAATTATCTATAATGGAGATGTAAATATGACTACTTTCTGTTTTGTGTTAATGTTTGAAACAGTCTATCCATTCTATGCTGCTTTGTATTTGCATCTGTTTCTGTTAACTGGAATTGAATAGATACTGTACTATGAAATTAAACACGGTAGAGGACAGTAGTGGGTACATGTGTTGTCGGTTATAATTTTCAAAAGAAGAAATTCCTTTTCTTCTTTCCCTAGGCGTCTTAATCCAAATTCTGTATCTGCATTTGAAGCCAGTGAAGAACTGAGTCTGCACGTGGCTGTGGAGGCAAAATTTATCTTCCTGTTTACTGTCCCGCCAGCGTTGTTGATAAAGTGAACAGTATGTCTACAAGTGACAAGTTGACAGGGTGGGAAGTTCTCGGTGTCCAGGGAGCACTGCTGAGTCACTTTCTCCAGCCAATTTATATCAGCAGTATACTTGTTGGTAAGTGGAACCTCAGTGCTTCTTGGCCCCTTTCAATAAATTCTCATATTTTCAGGTTAAAATTTGTTTTTGCATACATGGAACTTTGAGGATAAAATAGAAATCCACTTTTTGGTTGAGCTTTTTGTTTCACACTTAGTATGATAAAACTTGCCATTTTACCAAAGGATGAAGAATTAATTTTCTACTGAATTAGGTGTATGCTGTCTTGAACTTCTGTTTGCATAGTATCTATTCCCCCGTCCCTTTCTTTGGGGTGAAGATGCTTCCTTCAACTTCTTAAATCTAAAAGTTTCTACTGTATTGTATTTACTCCTCTTTGAAGCATGGAAAGTATTAAATGTCTATTTTGGTTCTTTTCTTAATTTTTTCCTTTTAAGTGGCCCAATGAGTAAGAAGTGACTAGAATGCAAAAT